CTGCAATCCTGTGGTGTATTGTCCCCATCCCCCCTGCAAACTCGACCTGCCCTGTCCTCTGTCCAGTGCTCAGAGTCTGTCTCCCCCAGTCCAGTATGGGGTATTCACCGTGAACCGCAAGATGGATCACACTTGAAATTTCACACTGGACATCGAGGTGGGTCCTGACCAAGGGGGGTGGATCTCTCATTTGGGGTGGGGCGGGTGGATCTCAGCTGGGGGGTAGGTCTCTCAGCTGGGGTTGACCTGTTCCAACAGAACCCTCCCAGAAGTTACCAGTCCTGCCCCTTTGTCCGCACAGAGCCCTGAGGGAGTCAGAGCCTGATGGCCATTGAAGGCTTTTTAAAATTTTCTTTCACCTGCCAGAGCTTGTCAGGTGCCATCAGGGAGCTAAGTGTGAACTGTCTCTCCTTCCTTCCTCTGCTAGGAGTGTCCTTTTATAGTGAGCAACCTGAACCACCACACATGGCCACCTTGCTCCCAAAGACAGACCCTTGGAATCAAGTGACATTTGAGTCACCAGATACTCGATTTCATCTTCTCCCAAGATCTGGCCCCTAGGGAGAAAGACCCAACAGGACCAGAAGAATGTGAGAATCTGACCCCCAGATCTCCTGAGAGCCTGGGGCAGTACAGGAAGTCACCCCCAGATCTTCATCTCTCCTGACTTTCTCTCACAGTCTAAGGACCTGGACCATGGAGGCCACTTACCAAAGCTCAGGCAAGCACAAGTTCACAGTTGCATTTGATGTGACGGAGCTTGGTGAGAACTGTGCATTCATGGAACACGTGAGGCCAGGCTGGGGGAGGGGAGAGGGAGGAAAGGTAGGATGGGGGAGGGGCAGCTGACATGCTGAACATCCTGTCACTTGTATTGTGTCTAGGGCTTTCATCTTTGTATGTCAAGCCAAACAAGACATTCTTCTGCCTCAACGACAAGACACTGTGTGTTGCTGTCTAGGCCCAGTGAGTCCCCTTGATCCCTCACCCTGATAGAGAACCAGGGACAACCCAGAAAATGAAGACTGAGATTTCCCCCAGTTCATGTGTTCACATACTTGGTCCATGACTGACAACAATATTTTGGGAAGTTGCAGGACCTTCAACAGGCAAGGCCTAGTTGGTCCATCATGTGGGTCCTTGGGATTAAACTCAGGTCATCAGGCTTAGAGGCAAGCCCCTTAACCTACTGAGTCATCTTGCCAGTCCCCATCTCTCAGCCTCTCTCCTAACCTCATTGCCACCACATCTGGCCTCCTGCCTCCATCTCCCAAGTGCTGGGGTTACAGCTATGTGTTGCAGTGCTGGGTTTACACAGTGTTGGGGATGAAACCCAGGACTCCATACACACTAGGCAAGCACTCTGCTCACAGAGTCCCAACCCCAAGCTCCAGTTTGGAATGCAGTGAGATCCAGCCAGCCCTCTCTACAGCTGTGAGGTTGTGCAGGTGGGTCCAAGCCAGTGAGGTAACCCTCCATTCCCCAAGGTAGTGAGGTAACCCTCCATTCCCCAGGTAGTGAGATAACCCTCCATTCCCCAGGTAGTGAGGTAACCCTCCATTCCCCAGGTAGTGAGGTAACCCTCCATTCCCCAGGTACATTGTCAACAAGCTGGTGGATGGGCATGCACTGATCATCTTTTGAGTCAAGATGGATTCCTGCAGGATTTATAAATCAGAATTCACTGCAGAGGGTGGAGGTGTGTGGACCCCCAGTCTTCTTCTACCTTTGCCCCTCTTTCCTCTCCTTCCAGGAACCCATCTCTCTTCCCATCCCCTGTTCCTAACACGTCTCCAAAGGCCTGGGGTACATCTTCCTACAGAGGGAAAAGCTGCTGGCTATGTTCAAAGGCCCCAAGGAGGACTTGGTGGGGGCCTCCGTTTTCCTCAACATCATTGTGTTCTCCTCAGGTGACACCCATACTCGGGGCTCTGATGAAGTCACAGGTTCTGTCCTAGGAACTTCCCTCATCAAAATGAGGAAGTGCTGGGATGGCTCAATGGGTAAAGAGCTTACTGGGCAAACATGAAGACCTGAGCTCCATCCCCAGCACCCACAGAAAAGCTGGGTATGGAGCTGCAGAGTTGGCTCAGCAGTTAAGAGCACTGGCTGCTTTTGCAGAGGACCTGGGTCCAGTTTCCAGCACCCACATGGCAGCTAACAGCCATCTGTAATTTCAATTCCAGGGAATCTGATGCCCTCTTCTAACCTCAAATGGTATTGCATGATGTGGGTGCACTTACATACATGCAAGCAATACACTCATACACATAATCAAAACAAATTTTTAAATAATAAAATAAGATAGAAAGTGACTGAGGAAGACACCTGACATGGACCTCTGGTCTTCACACACACAAACATGGGCAAACAGGCTTGCATATACATGTGCACACAGATATATACAACAAATATACATGCAAAAAAATCACCAAGGTGGGCAGTGTGGGTGAGGAAGGGTGAAGGACAATTGAGGCTGTTCTCTGACCTCCAGAGAGAGAGAGGGAGGGAAGGAGAGAGAAATGCAGAAACAGTGTGGCTAGGAGGGGCATAAATTGTGTTCCCCTTTTCCCATACTTCCCCTAACCAGTGCCCGTGCCCACCTGACAGGACACCTTGTCTCTTTGGCAGACTCTGGACTGTCTCTCTGTATCTATAGGGGGCGAGTTGGTTCAAGTGGGGTGAAGATTGTGGAGACCCATAGTTCACAAAGATGTACAGTATTTTAAGCCAGGGGTGCCCTTCCACTTTTGGGTCAGACTCTCAACCTCCTGCAACCAGGGACTTGGGGTCCACTCCCCAAAATAAACCTCCTGGTTCTCCTGGTGTGGGCTCAGGTCAAAGTTGAATCCATCTAAATACCCCAACCCTTCTTTAATTTTTTTTTTGTCTATTTGAGACAGGGTCTCCCTGTAGTCCCAGTTGACCTGAACTCACTATGTAGACCAGGCCGGCCTTGAACTCACAGAGATCCACCTGCCTCTGCCTCCTGAGTGCTGGGACTAAAGGCTTGTGCCACCACACCCGGCTCTTCTTTAAATTTTATCTATTTATTTATTTTTGGTCTTTTTGAGACAGGATCTCCATGTAGCCCCAACTGTCCTGGAACTCACTATGTAGACCAGGCTGGCCTTGAACTCACAGAGATCTGCCTGCCTCTGCCTCCACCTCCCCAGTGCTGGGATTAAAGGTGTGTGTCACCATGTCCAGCTTTAAATTTTATTTTTATTTGGCAGGCTGAAGTGATTGCTCAGTGGTTAAGAGCACTGACTGTTGCAAAGGATCTAGGTTCCCAGCACCCACATGGCAGTTAACAACCATCCATGACTCCAGTTCCAGAGGAATCCAAACCCTCATCTGACCTCTTGTGGTACTGCAAGACATAGGTGTAGTTACACACATGCAGGCAATACACTTATGACAAATAATAGTGATAATACTAATAAGTTTTTTTTTTAGAAGAAGCATTTCATTACAGCTTTAACATACTCAATAACAGTTTCCAGAGCAAAGATACAACTCTTTCAAAAGTGGCTATAAAATTTTTAGGTTTGCTGTTGAATTAATACAGTTATACAATATTGAACTCAGTATAAGCCCTGTAAGACATAAAATTGAATGAGTTTTTAACCTTTAAAAAAGATCTCCATTTCATTTTAGAATATATTGTTCCTTACAGAAAGACTCATTGTTTTTGCTACTAACACTGAGATGTTGGTGTATGCATCTCTAATCTGTATGTATCTGATTATTACTAGTCATAATCAGTTGCACTCGGCTCCTTGGCACCTGTGTATGTCTATAAAGCCATTGGGTAGATTTCAAAGTATTTTTATTTTACGAGTATGGGTGCTTCGTTTGCACGCATGTAAGTGCATCATGTGCATGCAATGTCCGTGGAGGCCAGAAAATGGCATTAGACCCTGGAACTGGAGTTACAGAAGGTTGTTTGCTGCCACGTGGGTGCTGGGAATCAAACCCAGGTCCTCTGCAAGAGCAGCTAGTACTCTAACCACTGAACAAGCTCTCCAGTCCCCAACCCTCCAAATTTAAGCCATAGCTGGTGTACATTAGGAAAGCCAGCCCTTACAATAGCCATACTCCGAGCTTACCCCAAGCCCTCCACATCTCCTTCCCACTCTCCTCCATGCTTCCACTCCAACCAGCATACCAGTGCTCAAGGGGCCACATATAGCCAAAAAGCCCTAAGGGTACTGTTCACAAACACTGAAATGAATGGCCTCTTTAGGGCTGCGGAGTGCACCGCCTGTGGAGCAGGTCTGTCCAGATGCTCTCTCCAGTTTTCTGTTTCTCACTGTGAGCCACACCCCAGGTCTGTCCACCTCACACCAGAATCACCCCTCAGGTCTCTCTCAAATCTGGATGGATCACCAGCATCCAGAGTCCTCATCTACTGCCAGAACCACAGCGTGTACAGCTCAGAAGATGGGGTAACTGCTTTGACTACCAACACAGATGTAGATTTGAAAGAGCTGCCCATATTAGTACCAGTTTGGAGGACGAGGAGGATTGGTTGGGATGTCCACAGCCAGACATGTGGCTAACAACCATCCATAACTCCAGTTCCAGGGGATCTAACACCATCTTTTGGTTTGTGTGGGATTTGCATGCATGTGTTGGACTCACATACATGCAAGCAAAACACTCATACTCATAAAATAAAAATAAATAAAAATTAAAAGTCAAGAAAAAGCAAAAAAGAAAAGATAGATAATAAAGAAAGACTACCAATGTTGATGTCTGGTCTACACAGAAACACATTCACATTGTCACCCCCACACATGCACACACAACACACACATGCATGTGCAACCACTTACACACACATGCATGCACGCACACATACATACCACACACCTACATGCACATGCACACCTCACACTAAAACTCAAAGTAGAAAGGTGTTTCTGCCTGTGGGAGCAAGCCTGCCCTCGACAGTTCTGCAAAAACTACCCAGCCAAAGGAGCAATGAGATACAGTTCACGTCAGTTTCCCAAGTTACCAGCAGAGGGCATCTTCCATAATTTACAGAAGCATTGTAGGAGTCAGTGCTTTAAGCAAAAAGCCTTTCCTAGATTCCAGGCTCTGGGAGGCTTTTGATATCTAAATGGGCAAGACTTGAGAGAATCACTAAATGCATACATTGTCCCTGTGGGAAGTTCCCTGTAGTGCCTGCTCATCTGCACCCTTTCTGCTGACCCAGAGTCACCTTTTATGACCACCCATCTTCATCACCCACCATCACAGGCAATTGAACCATGAAGTTATTTTCTGGGGACAGAGTGAGCTTGCTCCAGGTCAATATCATCTTCCTCAGGGGAAAGTCCCACATGGTGACATTCGCCCTGAGAGGCGTGTGCAGTGACTGCATGGTGTCCGATGTGCTTGGATGCTGGTGTTCTCAGTGCTGCCAACCCTCATGACTTGGGGGACCACCAGGATGTACCTGCAAGGACAGACAGACATGAGGGACTCCGTGGCAGGTGAATGCCTGGAGCTGGGAGCCATGCCAGGGAAAGTCACCTGAGTCCCCTGGGTTCCCTAGACTCACAGCAGGTTGGTGTGGCTCAGATGGCTGCTCATGAGGATCAGAAAGAAGCCCAGGATCCAAGACTGATCCATAGAGAGCCCAAGGCAGCAGGTATATGACTCTTCTGTGTCACAACCCTGGACTGTTGGCTTTGGCTTGTCCCGGCTGAGTTAATGTCTAAACAGTTTGGGGAGGGGAATACCTGTAAATCCAAAAGCAGGGGGTGAGGGGCTACCCCAAGTTTCTCAGCCAGACCTCCAAGGGGACTTTTCTGGGGGTTTTGAGTGGCAGGAGGGGAGACCACAGTGTCTTATCTCCTACTCCTGGCAGGGAGCCCTGTGGCCCCAGGGCACCCACCTCATGGCAGTCTGGATGGGTGTTGTGAAATTGTTCAGTTTCTGGAACAGCTGCTCCCACAGCTCACCATCAGCACTTTCTTCCTTGTCCCCAATTCGAGGCGTGAGAGAATACTATGGCGCCCAGCTGTTCTGGCTCCTGCTATATTGAACATCTGAGAAACACATGGATCAACAGCATCTCCCAGGGCTGTCAAGAGGGCTCAGCAGTAACAGGACTTGCCACCAACCCTGGTGATCATAGTTGGATTTTCTGAACCCACATGGTGGAAGGAGGAAATGAACTGTCATAAGCTGTCCTCTGACCTCCACACAGGTGCTGTGGGTGCATACACACATATACAAACAAACAAAATTTTAAAAAATTAAAAAATATTCTTTTAATTGGGCATGGTGGTACACATGTCTTTAATCCCAGCACTTGGGAGGCAGAGACTGGTGGATCTCTGTGAGTTGGAGCCCAGCCTGGTTTACATAGCAAGTTCTAGGCCAGCTGGGGCTACATAGTGAGACCTTGTTTCAAAATCAACTAACCAGTCAATCAACCAACCAATCAATCAGACAAACCAAAAACAAGAACAAACAAAAGGAGTTCAGAGTCATCTTTGGCAACATACAGAGTTCAAGGCCAGGCTGGCTTCCAGGTTATCAGGTTATATCAAGAAAAGAGGGTTGGAGAGATGGCTTAGAGGTTAAGAGCATTGGCTGCTCTTGCAGAGGACCCAGGTTTGGTTCTTGGTGGTTAACAACCATTCATAACTCCAGTTACAGGGGATCCGACACCCTCTTCTGGCCTTGCATACATGTGGTGCACATACCCACACACATATACACATAATTAAAAAAAATAAAGTGAGGAGTAACTGAGGATGACCCCTCCAACGCTGACTCTGATTCCACACGTGCACACACCCACACCCTCTCCTGTGCTGGCCTTCAGCCTCTCTGCATCCCATGCATGGGCTGAGCTGACCCCCTCCTCACAGGAGATGGCTGTGCTTTAGTAAATCAAGCCCATTGTCTGTTGTTTCTGACCTACGCCAGTCTCTTTGTCCAGAAGGCAAATTATACGTATTAAAACCAGGGAGGAAACCACATCATGCTTGAAGCATTTGTGAAAGAAGGGCTTCCTCTGTCCCCACTGAGACTCACTGGTTGATTTCTGTGCCTGTTGGAGATAATGTTGAGCCAGCTCTGGTATCTGCTCCAAAGCAGTTGGAGTGACACAGAAATTCTGAATTTTCCTCTGCTAGATAGGATGATTTGTTATTTTTTGTTTTAATTTGGAGACAAGCAAGCTATTCTGTAGTTTAGGCTAGCCTTGAATGCATTATGTAGCTGAGGATGACCTTGAACTTCTGATCCTCCTGCTTCCACCTCCCAAGTGCTGGGATCACATGTGTGTACCACCACACTTGGTTTATGCAATGCTGGGAATGGAACCCACAATCTCATGCATGGTAGGCAAGTGCTCTGCCAACTGAGCCCTAGCCCCAGTCTCAGCTTGGACACGCTCACCTCTTACAGGGTGCCCAGTGATCCAAACAATTTTAATTTATATACATGTGTGCTTGTATCCAAAAAGATTCAATAAGCAGGGACTGGAGAGCTGCCTCAGTGGCTAAGAGCACTGGCTACTCTTGCAGGGGACCCAGGCTCAATTCCCAGCACCCCCATGGTGATTAGCAAGTGTCCATAACTCCAGTTCCTGGGGACCCAACGCCCTCTTCTGGTCTCCATGCACTTCATGAACGTGGTCCACTTACATGCATGCAGATAAAATACTCATATACATAAAAAAATTTCCTGGGCCTGGTAGCACATGACTTTAGTCTCAGTACTCTGGAGGCAGAGGAAGGTGGATCTCTATGAGTTTGAGGTCAGCCTGGTCTACATAGTGAGTTCCAGGCCATCTGGGGCTACAGGGAGACCCTGTCCTTCCAAAAAAAAAAAAAAGAAAAAAAAAAGGAAGATTGAGTTAGCACCTTCTGTGGGCCTGGTTCTAGTTAGCACTCTGGGAACATAGCCATGAGCGTGATAAATTCCCTCCTGTGAGTGAGAACATTTCCTGGGAACTACTAAAAGCCCAAGGCATTTTTTTTTTTCTCCTTAAACCTCGCATCTTTCAGCCAGGTGTGGTGGCACATATGTTTAGTCCCAGCACTCTGGAGGCAGAGGCAGGCGAATTTCTGTGAGATAAGAGGATATAGTGAGTTCCAGGCCAGTTGGGAGTACAGGGAGACCCTGTCTCCAAAAGACCAAAGTAAATAAATAAATAAATAAATAAATAAATAAATAAACCAACCGAACAAAAAAAAAACCCCAAAACAAAAAAAAACCCCAAACCCCCAAACCAAAACCCAAAGAACGCTTTGCATCTTTCAGTGAGATGCATGAGGTAACACATGCCTGTAATCCCAGTACTCAGGGATTGAGGTGACACATGGCTGTGCTTCAAAAAACAAAAGAACCCCACAAATTAGAACAACAAAAACCATACCAACAGGAGCTGGAAAGATCGCTCAATAGTAAGAGCATTTGCTGTGAAAAGAAGGAGGAACTGAGTTCAAATCCCTAGCACTCATGTAAAAAAGCTGGTCCTGGGGCTAGCGAGATGGCTTAATGGGTAAAGGTGCTTGCTGCCAAGCATGACACCCTGAGTTTCATCCTTGGAATCCAGATGGTGGAAGAGGGAACTGACTCCTGCAATTTGTCCTCTGAGGTCCACACAGGCACCATGGCATGTATACAGGCAATTGCAAGCATACAGAAAGTAAATAAATAAAATTAAGAAGAAAAACTCAGATGGGGGACAACAGAGGCAGACTCCTGATGTCTTTCTCTGGCCTCCACTGACATACCTACGCACATACCACACAGACAAAACACACTTGCAGGTTCGTAAATTTTCCACATCTCGTATCTGTAGCAAGTTAGACACTAAGAAGGCAGGTGGACTCTAGCCCGCTGGCCTTGAATTTGCGATCCTCCTTCTGTCTCCCAAGTGCTGGCCTTATGGGCCTGGGCCACTATACCCAGCTACTGTGTTTTTTGAGTCTCATTCTCTAACATAGGCTGGCTTTGATCTCTCTCTCTCTCTCTCTCTCTCTCTCTCTCTTTCTCAAATTTGTGTGTGTGCGTGTGCATGTGTGTGTGCTATGTTCTGAGTGTGGAGGTCAGAGGACGATTTGCAGGAGTCAGTTCTACCATGTAAGTCCTGGGGTCGAATTCAAGTTGTCAGGCTTGGTCGCAAGTTCCTAAGCCATCTCAGCAGCCCTGGTCTTGGACTCTCCTTCTCCTGCCTTAGGCTCCGAAGTGATATGATTTCAGATGTATAGCACCACACTTCACTAATGGTTGATTCTTAATAGTACCCACTGTGCACCAAACCCTCCCTCCCTTCCTTTCTTACAGCCATGCAGAAAATATTAGACCTCATGGACAGGTAAGAGAAACTGAGGACTGGCACCATGGTGTCACTGTGAGCAATAGACAAAGAATCCACAAAATCAAATCCAGACTTTGTGTGGGAGAGACTGGGGATGCTGTGCAGTGGGAAGAGCATGGGACTGGCATGTAGGAAGCCCTGAGTTTATCCCCAGCACTGCACAAACCAGGTGTGGTGCATGTATCATTCCACTTGGGTGGTGAAGGCAGGGGGATCAAGAGTTCAGTCTCCACTACACAGTGAGTGTGACACCTGCCTGGGCTACATTTAGAAAAGAAGAAAAAGAGGAAGAAGAGGAGGAAAAGGAGGTGGGAAGGGGAGGGGGAGGAGGAGGCTTTTAACTTCTGAGCAGTCTTACCCCCCCATCCCCGGTTTTTTCTCTTAAAGACAAGGTCTTGCTGTGTAGCCCTGGCTGTCCTGGAACTCGTGGTCATCCTCCTAGTTCAGCCTTCTTCACCGCTGGCCTTCAGTGCTGGGGTCTCAGGAAAGCAAACCAGGCCAGGCTTGTAGGGGGTCAAGCGTCATTGCGGCCCGCCAGCAGAGGCCCCAACAAGCCCCATCCCGGCTCCCGCCTCCCTAAGGAATGCCGGCGGTCGGGGGAGGCGGAGCTGGCCTCTGCTGGAGCAGCTGCTACTGCAGCGGCCATCCAGCCTGCCTCCCTCCCCCAGGCCAGTGGGGTTTGCAGGCGCAGGCGCCAGGGGTGGGAGGAGCAGCTTTGCCAGGCCTCATCCCTCCAGGGATGAGGGGCCTGGAGTCTCCCGCCTCCTCCAGGGCACTGAGCCCAAGGCTTCCCGGGAAATGCTGGGAAGGCTGAGAAGGCAGAGGACTGATCATTCATTAAATACCTAGCAGGCGCCAGCCAGTCTTCCCTAGCAACCCTGAGCTCACAGATGAGAAACTGAGGCCCACCAAGTGGGTGTCTCAGTGACCCAGTGCAGTCACTTCCCACCCCAGCAGCCTTGAAGTTTCCAATGACTTTGTTCTGTTTGATGCAGGGTCTCATATAGCCCAGGCTGGCCTGGAACTCCTTACATAGTGAGTATGGCCTTGAACTTCCTATCTTTGTGTCAACATCTCCTGAGTCCTGACATGAGAAGTGTGCATCATGCCAGCTTTATTCCTGGGTTTACTGTTGTTTGTAATTTTGTTTTTTTGAGACAGGGTCTCCTTGTAGCCCCAATTGTCCTGGAACTTTATGTAGACCAAGCTGGCCTCAATCTCACAGAGATCTGCCTGCCTCTGCCTCCTTCCCGAATGCTGGAATGAAAGACGCTGTGCCACCACACCTATGTTTTTATTTTATTTTATTTTATTTTATTTTATTTTATTTTATTTTATTTTATTTTATGTATACGAATGTATTGCCTGCATGTATGTGAGTACACCCGTGTCATGCAGTGCCATGGAGGTCAGAAGAGAGCTTCGGATTCCCCTGGAACTGGAGCCATGTCAGTGCTGGAATTGAACCCACGTCATCTGCAAGAGCAGTCAGTGCTCTTAACTGCCGAGCCATCTCTCCAGCCTCATCGTATTTTAAAAAATATATCATCTGGTCAGGCGTAGTGGCGCATGCCTATAATCCCAGCACTGGGGAGGCAGAGGCAGGAGGACCTGTGAGTTCAAGGCCAGTCCAGGCTTGTTCCAGGTCAGCTAGGGCTACAAGGGAGACCCTGTCTCAAAAAATAACAACCAATAATAAAATCGTCTGACCTTATACGATATATGCAATTCATAAAAGTTAACATTTGTGCTATTGCATTCCAGTTTTTTGAGAGTCCTAGGGATCTGAACTCTGGTCCTTAGGCTTGTATGGAAAGTGTTTTACCCATTGAGCTGTGTCTCCCCAACCCCGTTTGTTTGTTTTTGGAGACAGGATCTTCATAAGTAGCCTAAGCTGGTCTTAAACTCACTATAGAGCCCAGGCTGGCCCCAAACTCATAATCCTCCTGCCTTAGCATCTCCAGTGCTGGGATGACAGGTGTGTGTGCCTGGCTTTTGTCATTGAATTTGTTTTCCTTAAGGCTACAGCTGCAGGCCTAGCTCGTTCTCAAACATCCTATGTCTATCCCCTCTCCTGCAAAGGGGTCGTATCTGGGCACTGGGACTTTGGAGAGAAGACATTTACTAAGAAGTAGGGAGAGTCCAGGCACCACCACCTTTGAGTTCATTGTCTCACCAGAATCTCGAAAGTCAGCTAGCCTGGGCTACTCAGTGGGGGCATTGGAGACCCTGTCTCACATGAGGTAGAAGACTAGGACCAACACCCAAGGTTGTCCAATGACTTTCACGTGTGTGCTGTGACCCATGGGAGCCCACATTCAGATGAACATACAAGTGCACGTGCAGAGAGAGAAAGAGAGAGAGAGAGAGAGAGAGAGAGAGAGAGAGAGAGAGAGGAAAAGAAGGGTTAGAGAGGGAGAAAAGATGGTGTTTCAGGGAAAGGACGGTGCTCAGATCTGCCAATGGAAAGATCTGGAAGTCTGGGTGTGGTAGTGTACACTGCTGATCCCAGCACTCTTTTTTCCCGATTTTTAAAATTTATGTGTACAAGTGTCTTACCTGCATGTAAGTGCTCCAAGTATGTGCGCAATGCCCTCAGAGGTCTGGAGACGGCGTTGAAACCCCCAGAAATGGAGTTATGGATGATTGTGAGTCACCATGTGGGTGCTGGGAACTGAACTCAGGTCCTCTTGAAAAGCAACCAGTGCTCGTAACCACTGAGCCATCTCTACATCCCTTCTCCTTCTTCCCTCCCTCCCTCCCTCCCTCCCTCCCTCCCTTCTTGCCTCCTTCCTTCCTTCCTTCCTTCCTTTCTTCCTTTCCTCCTTTCCTTTTTATAGCAATTAAATTGTTAATTGACAATTTCTCACATGTACATAATGCATACCAACCACTTTCACCCTGTATATTTCTTTCTTTTCTTCCTTTAGACAGAATCGCAAGCCATGTCTGGCCTCAAATTTTCTGTGTAGGCAAGGGTGATTTTGAACCTCTGATCCTCCTGCCCAGGATTACAGGTATGCACCATCGTGCCAGGTTTATGCAGAGCCAGGAGTGGAGCCTGGGGCTTCCTGCATGCTAGGCAAGCTTGTGGCTAGTTGGGCTACAGT